GGTCCAATTCCATCCAACCACCAAAAGGGCTCTTAAAATACTTAGATCTAAAATAAAACTGAGCACATTGATATCCCAGAATGCTTTCAATTGATTTCACTTAATGGAATAAGGGTATGTTATTATTGTGGTTGTTCACCGTTAATTCTCGGATTAAAAAAACTTCTTGTTATAGTTTAAAGAGATACTTTGGATGCGGTCCTTAGTTATGAATATTCTTTGATTAAAACCTTGTTGGTTTTTAATTTTTGATCGAGGTCCCTGAAATTAATGTGATAATTTATTTCTGTGTACGTTACTATATTTTTTAAATTAAAAATTAGAAATTTTAGTTGTTTATATAAATGAGATTTTAAATGATAAAAAAACCATAATTTGTGGGATTTAAAATATTAAAATATAAATATACTATTGTGTGTGTATATATATATAAACATGGGTACATTCATCAAAATTAACCAAAAAAATTATTGTATCAAAACATGGGTACATTCTTCAAAATCACAAAAAAAAAAAAAAAAATATTAGGCTTAATAAAATTAGTAAATTTCTTTGATTAAACTTGACATGGATACAATTTAAAATCAAAGAAAAAAGAATGTACCCATATAAGTTTAAAAATGGATTAGAAAAAAATTGAATAGATTTTATATAAAAAAAAGGGTACATTTTACATATAACAAATTGATATATTTAAGAATGAGTACATTTTAAGATTAAAAAGTTTTACATGAATGGGTACATATAATTAGCATAGGTACATTTAGCAAAATAAAAAGTACAAATAAAAAATATATATGGGTACAACTACAAATAAACTTTAAAAAATATGGACACAAAAAGAAATTAATATATGGGTACAAATTAATACTGAAAAGAAAAATGGGTACAAACTATAACTAAATATATATGATAAAAAATTTAGTTATAAATATAAATATACTAATTGTAATATTTTTAACATTAAATAAATATATTTAGAAAAAAAAATTATTATTAAAATAATTAATGATATTATTAATACCCAATAATCTTGATCAAAAATTGAAGAAGAATATGATTTTAATCAATGAAGCAGTAAAAGAAAGAATAAGAACTTAATTTCTCTTAGTTTAAACTTGTCCTAGTCAAAGTAAGATTTCTTGGGCATTTGACTATGTCAGGCAATATGAGTGATGACGAGTGATTCAGCGATCCGAAATACTTAAAACCTTTGAATTGAAGAGAGCGTGGAACAGCAGTATGGCAGGGTCCCGTCATCAATTCCTGCCCCCAAAAGCATGATGACCTAAAAGCTGTACGATGACTGAAATACCCTTGTATTAGTAACAGGAAGGTGGGGTCATGGGAGGGTATTCAGGGAAGAATGTGCATCGGGAGCGTGAAGGGGAGTCTGGAATTCAGGTAGGTTCTGATCCCTCCTTTCTCTCTGGGCATGTAGTAAGTAGGAGACTGCTCTCCTGTCTGGGGCTTCGGGTTGCAGAAAATGAAAGTCAGGACTATGCGATTCCCAAGGCACTCCCATTCTCTGAAGACTAAAGACTTTCCATTACTTTTAAATGGAAAGGGATCATCTCCTGATCTCTTTTCATCTAATTCACAAAGCTCGTTAGTCGAGTCATTGAAATTTGATGTAACAATTATAAACAGAGAGCTTCCTTAAAAGATATAATAATTGTAACCATTAGATCAAATTTCAACAGTCTAAATCTCAAACTTAATGATTTAGGTGAAAAGGAATCCGAAGATAACCTATTTCCCTTTCAAATATATAAATAGGAGATATGCCAAAAAGAAACTCTAAAAAATACTCTTATTTCTCTATAACCTTATATTTTAGCATAGTATTTTACAATATTGACATAAAAAATAACATTAAATTATTAAATCTCAAAAAATCTATTGCGACTCCTACTTTAAAAGTCTTCTTAAGATATTCACAATCTGTATGTTTTAAACACAAAATGTTTCATCTCATGTAATTAAAATCGAAAGACATCAAAAAAAATAATTTAAAATGTGACACCCGTATCGTCTATTTATAATAAGACTCGTCGAATACCTACATTTTCAATTAAAGTTCTTAATTGGTATTTTTTAAATTACGGCGTACTACGTGCGATTTACACGTTTTAAATATATTTAGTGTAAATTGACAAAAGGAAAGTCAAATATTTGAAGTAAATGAATAATCTTATATCATACTAAAAGAAAGCTCTCATAAACCAATTAAAGCAGCTGAATTCACATAATAAAATCAGTCTTTATAGAATTTACATTAAGAATAGAGAAAATAATACTTAATAAACAATTGATTGAATCACATTATTGCTAGACCATTATGAGGTTAAGCCCACCCACTTCTCTCTTAGTGTAGATAATATCGTTTGTTAAAAAAAAAACAATTATTTGACAACTAATTTAATCACATTATTATCCGTGTGCGAAAAACATTTTTTATAACCAGCATTACACGTCTCTTAAGATGTTTTGAACGTGTATAAAAATAGAGAAAATAATGTTTAATAAACAACTAATTGAATCACATCATTGCTACCCCGCACACCCCCTCCTCCTTAGTGTAGATAATATCGTTTTTTAAAGTAAAATAAAAAATCATTTGACAACTAATTTAATCACATTATTATCTGCGAAAGACCTTTTTTTATAACTGGCATTACACGCTTTTTAAGATATTTTGAACGTATTTAAAAAATAGAGAAATTGAATTACATTATTACTAGCCTATTGTGAGGCACTAATTAAAAAAATAAAAAATAAAAAGCATCAAAAAAATTAATTATTAAAAATACTATTAAAATGACGAAAATACCCTTGCCTGATTTGATGCATTATTTTGGGATACCTTTGAAGTTTTTGGTCTTGGGGGCATTTTTGTCCAAATATTTTTATTGAAAGACACCAAAATCACTATTCACTATTCCATTCTCTTTATATATAGATTTAGTATGATGGTATGTTATGCGTGTCATAATACATATTTTATGTATTTTGATGCATGCAACATAAACATGCATGTCATTTATGATTTTTTTTGTCAAAAAATGATCAGCTGGTGGTAAAGTTATGACAATTGATTTTTTTTGGAGCTAAGAAGACTTACAAAGATATTTCTACCTCTCTTTAACTACCATTGTGTGATTCATGAGTACAAGGAATAAAACTCAAAAACAACCGTTTGAAATATGAACTTTTTATTTCGTCCACCACTGAAACACCCTTGATGGTTGTCATTTGTAAATTGATAAAGATTTTGTCTTGTTTTACGATGGTAAAGTTTAGGACCGACACCAAACAATTAGGAAAACGTAACTTTGGCGAGGAAATTCCGAAATCTTGTCTACATACAAATCACAATTTGCATACCAAACTTAAATAAGAAGTCATACGCGTAAAAAGAAAATCACAATTCCTTATTCTGTCAATCAACTTGACGCGTATGCATAATTGATTCATTAAAAACGAAAGATTTTTTTTATGTGTATATATATATGAGTTAAGATTCGGGACACACGCTTTTCATATGCCTTTTGACACATTTTTTTATAGATTCACTCTGTATATTTCAATGATCTAACTGTCTATCTTTTATGTCTCACCTCAAATATCGTCTAATAAAAATCATCTAAATCCGAAATCACATAACCGATGAATTAAATGTAGTATTTCTTTGTAGAATCGTATTTATGCATTTTCTTCATTATAAATGAATATTTGATAGTTTTGAATTTGTCTAATTTTTTTGTAAGAATAATCGATGACTAATGTATAAAATTTAGGCCGCGTGTGTACCCAAAACTAACTCATACATATACATATTGTTTTTTCTTTTGTTTTTGGTGAGTTATGCATATGCCTCAAGTTGATTGAGAGTCAAGAAATTGTGGTTTTCTTTTAAGCTTGTATGACTTCTTAATTACCTTTGGTATGCAAGTTCTACGTACGTTCATGATCGTTTTTCAATAAATGTCAATAAATTATTATTAACTACAAAATTACAAGGCACTAAATAGTATGTGATCATATTAATAAACAACACTTCTTCGCATTATTCCTCCAAAAATTATGAAAAAAAATCTCAAAGTTTACTATTGAATAATTGCTAAGATAACAAACTAACGGCAAGATGAACTATTTAAAATGTAATTTAATCCTCGAAATAACCTAGTAAAAAAGGAATCAAACAAATAACAAAATACAAGAAACGTCCTAAAATATCAAAATCCGATTTTGGGCTAGTAAACGATAGAATCTAGTCGAAAAAATCCGATTGCCGTGCTCTTTGAAATGTCAAGTCATGGACCTAAATCGAACATCCAAGCTCAAATTTACAGTGCTTTGTTCTGGTCCGGTTTATGCTTTTCGACTTCATCTTTAATTCATCTACCATATCATACACGATGAGGATTTGTTTGAGAAGAAAGTGGTGCCTTTCGGTTGGAGACAAACATTTCCATTAGTAGTTAAATTATTCAGTGAGATCCAATAACTAAAGTGAATTATGTAATGTCATAATGATAGATCATAAAGATTAACCTATTAAGGGAAAGAGATTTGTAATTATAAAAGAAAAGACTGAAAGAAGGGTTGGGAGTCCACTCTAAAGTATTCTAGGAGGAAAAAAGGGTAACGTACGGTAAGGGCATAAAATTATAAACCTACATAAAATATTAGGTAGACCATACAAATAATTTGTGAAAATTAATGTAGTTTTTTCAAGCTTTTTCATGGCTCCAAGCCTCCGAGAGAGAGAGAGAGAGAGAGAGAGAGAGAGAGAGGTGATGAGAGAGGTGATGTTTGTAGTTTTGTATTTTATATCCCTCACGCACCCTCCTTAGCTATTCTACTGCTATAAATACTGCTGCCCTTCCCATAACTCATAACCCTCCATACTCAGATATTTCAGAAGCTCTAGCTAGCAAGCTTCATCTTCTTCTGCTTCTGTTGCTGCTGCTGCTGCTGGCTCATGAGTTTAAAAAGTGTGGAAGAATCTGTTAAGCTCAGGAGGGATAGCGCCATTCTCGGTTTGGTTTAACCACATATAGCGCTATCCATCCTGAGTTTCATGGCTTCTTCTTACACACTCCCTGAGGAATTGTGGCCTTTTGAGTAAGGTTTGTAGTTTGTTTTCGCAATCTTATTACTCTCTCTTAGTAATGCTTTTGTGTTATGTTTGAGAAGGCTAATATGCTTTACTATTTGAAAAATCTCTGTTGCAAGTGAAACCTATCTGCTTGAAAGCTGAAACATTAGCAGACTCAAAGTTCATTTTGTTAAATAAGGGGATCTCGACGTGTCAAGATTTCAAAGAGACGGACTTTAAAAAGGCAGATTAGCGGGCCTTACATTTGAACAAAGAGATTTTTTTCTAGATTTTAAAGAGACATATCAACAAAACTTATATCCGAATGATGGGATGTAGGCCAGTTGATTTTGATGTTCAATTTATCTCTTCCTTTTACATTTGAATTTGATGTTTTCCTTTAATTATTTTGCTATTTGAAGCTAAATATCTCCTTAATTAAACTCAACTTGTAAAACCCCCAAAAGCCAAAGATTAAGCTAAATATTTCCTTAATAAGTTGATGATTTTCATCTGATTATTATTATTATTATTATTATTTGTTAAATTCCTTTGATTATTTTTGTTAATGACGAACTCCCTTTCATTAATTTGTTGCTTTGTTTGCCGCCATAGCTAAATAAAAACAGATTAAAAATATGCAAAAACAAGAAATATGAAAGTGAAGGACTTATCCGTAGTCACATGTGAAGAACTGGAGGTTGTTGACCACTTCCCAACCCAACCTGGTGAATAAGTCAGGGGCCTCTGATATTTCCCTTTCAATTGCCTGAAGTTTGGCTTAGAGATTGTGCAATTCTGGCACCTATTTTCGTACTCTTTGATTACTTGCTTACCATTTCGGGTAATAATACTTCCTTGGCTTGTTGCTTCCACTAAAATAAATACCATTCACTCATGACTGGCTTTTAATTTTCTTTTTCACATTGGGGATTTTATTCTCTCATGTGGGTTTAGATTTTTCGAGCTCCGTCATAAGGTATGATGGTAATCTATGGCCTGTTTGGAATTGCACTTGGAAGACTAAATGTGTTTTTGACAACTAAAAATATTTTTTTGATTGTATTTGGTAAAGAACATAACATTAGTTATGTGCTTCTTCAGCAAATACTTAACTTTAGTTAGCAATTTATTTATACGTAAACGCATTTTCAACAAAGGCGAGAAGAAATGCTTATATTGAAACAATCCAACGCGAGCTCTACATGCAATTGATTTTATGATAGCTTATTATTGACAATTCTTAAATATTCATCATGCAATCCTTCGTAATTAAAAAAAACGAATAAATTTACAAAAGTTAAAGAATAAGAATTAGTATTAGTATCTAAACCGCAAAGATTATCAACTAAATTTGATGTTCAATGACTGCAGGGCTTTGCCGTTTAGGGTATGGAAGGATGGAGATGAGGACCAAAGCTCAAGTCATGCAGACCTTAGCTTCAGAAATGGAGGCTGTACTATAAACATGTTTACAGATATTGGGGGAGAGAGGGAAACAAGCAAACGTAGAAATCAGGGAACTGAGAAAAAGTTCCATATAAGATTTTTGTTTTTTCTATGCGATTAATGTATAAATAAAATACTGAATTTGTTATGTCCCTTTCACAATTTGATAATGTCCAAGATTAAGATATCGTAATGTCATGTTTAATTGGACAAGGATTGTCTGCCCTTCACTTCTGGTGCCCTTTTTGTGCCCTCCTATTTTGTGTGGTCACGGTTAAGTCACGTCAACATTTTATATTGTTTTTTTTATACATATAATAAGACAAAAATGAATAGTAATATAAAATGTTGACGTGGCTTAACCGTGACCACATAAACAGAATGGCACGGGGAGGGCACCGAAAGTGGAGGGCAGACAATCCTCATCCTGTTGAATCACGTGAAATGAAAACTAAGATTATTACGATTCTTGGCTTTTTTGCATTTATTAAAATGGGTATTAAAATATGTTAATTCCTAACTTTTCTCGTGTTTAGTAACACATGAAATAAGAGCTGGAGTCAATTCTACTTTAATGATTCATTTGAAAGTGTTTTTAAAATAACTGAAAACACTTTTGATGAAACGAGCCCTAAAATCCGTCATGCAATGAATGCGTCCTCTAAAAAAACTTTCAATCATTCTAACATCATTTTCAAACAAACCATTTTTTCTTTCCTTTTTCGATACGATTTTTAGTCAAAGAGTTTTTCCCTTTTTTTTTCATTGGATAATATTAAGGAGACTAATTTTTAGATCAAATTTTGTAAACTAAATGATGTGGTTATTGATGGTTGAATTATTATCTAATTATTGATCAACATGCTTATTCATTATTAGTGACACATCATTTAGGGGGGGTGTAGTCAAACTTGGATTTGAAAGGATTTTAAAATCCTAGTGTAGTCAACTAATGGATTTTAATGGATTTTAAGAATACATGTAAATCTAGGTGTAGTGACTGTAGTCAATGGAGATTTTAATTGTCAGTTTTAAAGTCCATCTAAATCTAGATTTATTAAAAAATTAAAGATTTTGTAGGATTTTATTAAGTTGTGAGAGATTTTAATTGTCAGTTTTAAAGTCCATCTAAATCTAGATGTATTAAAAAATTAAAGATTTTGTAGGATTTTATTAAGTTGTGGATTTTGTAGGATTTGAGAGGAGGAAGTATATATAACAAAGACCAAATAGAATCCTACCTCACACCATAGGATTTGAAATCCTAGTTGAACGACTCCTCTTCTTCTCATTGCCAGCCACTTTCTTTGCTTTATCTTCTTCCTTCATTTTTGCCATATTTTCTTCAATTTTTGTTGTTGGGTTGCATCATTTTATGCGATTTTTTCTTCAATTTTTTGTTGTTGGGTCGCAATCTTTCTTCATGTCCGCAATGTTTTCGTTGCTGCTGGACCCTCATGCTAATTGCTGCTATGTGTGCGGCATGGGTTCATGAATGAATAAGGTGACAACGAAGGAATTCGGTTCTTCATGTCTGCTTATTTATGCTCTTTTTTTTGGTACCATGAATGAATTCGTTTCATTAATAAATATTAAGAATAAATAAGGTGTCAACGAAAGGGATAAGAATAAAGTGAGGGAGGAAGTAGGATTGGAAATGGGTGCACTGGGGATCTTTGAGGAGTTGAGTTTATGTGATAATCTTGACTTCTTTTTTTTCGGCTCCAAGGGATGCAGCTCCAGATCATGAACATCTTCATTTGATTTATTTGATGATTAAGATTCAACATTACAAAATCTATAGAAATTTGTCATTCAAATCTTCTCAAATCTTCCAAAATCTATAGGATTTTGTAGAAGTTTATAATCCTATGAAATCCATCACATATCAAAATCTATTAAAATCCTCTCAAATCCAAGTTTGACTACACCCCCTTAGTTTGCAAGTTTGGCTTAACAATTTGGTCACCCTAACATTATAATATTTTGTGCTTACCTTTTGTTAAAATCACACCATGTTTAGTGGTTATGAGAGGAAAAATTCTAATTTTCGACTTCTCCACATTTATTTAAAACATCGAGTACCTTCAAAATTTAGAAATTAGGTCAACTGGGAAGAGTAATTGATTCAATTCTCATTCCTTACCACCCTTATTTTGGACTTCCCCAATTGCTTACTTCTTTGATACGTAGTAAGTTTTTTTTTTTTCCTAAAAGACTTGTTTGCTTACTCGGAATGCGATGCAAAGAATGATTATCTATACCCATTTCAGTCATATCATATTATTACCAGTAGTTGTTTATCTCGTGAACAATTAGATATCATTACGATATCGTTACCATACCTAAAAATGTAGGTACACATGCCCTATAGTTGAGGTAAGATATTTACCCACAAAATATGTAGAGGAGGCCACCCCATGAGCACTTGTAATTTTGGTAATCGAATTTGCTTGTGGAAGATATTTGATGGCCCATTGGGCTTGAATTGATACGCAATTGGGCTTCGTTACGTTTGGGCTTTGACAGCTCATTGGGCTTCAATTCATGGTAACCGCACTTTTAGTTACGGCATCAGGCCCAACAGAGATATTTTTCTGAGCGCGAAATCTAGCCGTTAAAATCGTCGCTACAGATAAAGATATAACAACAAAAACATATGGTTGCAGGCCTTCTGCAACATTCACTCTTTTCTTTATAAAATGGAGTCTGGAATTTGTCTGTTTAAGAATTTGAAAAATGGCGAGTGGTCTCTCACACCACCACCTTCTCTGCATGTATTCCTCAAAAACCCACCCACCGTTTTCAAAAACGCAAACACTTTTCAGAAACCCGAAATCCTCCTCCGTTGCTCTCCGGACCCTCCCGAAGTCGTTGTCTCCGAAAAACTCCAACACTTCGCTGCAAAGTTCGCCGGAAGAGTCGAAGCCCGCCAGCGCTCTTAAGCGGGCCGACCCGCCCGGCCAAAACCCACCTCCCAGATTGTCTTCTTTCGACTCCCTCTTCGTCCGCCTTCGTCATTTGAGGTAGATTTTAATATTATTTTTATGTACACAATTTCAAATTCATGGGTGATTAGCTTTGGTGTGTTGTGGGTTGTTGTAAATTTGTGATTTGATTCATTGGAATATGATTGCAGAGATGAAAGGTTTAAGCTTGATGGGATTTTTGTGGACATTCTGTCGATTGCATTGCCTGCTGCTCTGGCTCTTGCTGCTGACCCCATTACCTCTTTGGTTGACACAGCCTTTGTTGGGCATTTAGGTATCAACTTTGTTCCTTGATTATGCTTAACTAAATAATAATGTTTGATTTTTTTTTTGTTAATTGATACAATTATGTGTGTATTTGATAAATAATATAAGAATCCATGTCGGATTTGACAAAATAAATTACAATTAACAAATGGTTCTACTCCTAATGACACTGAGGGTTATGTGATAAAACTCCATACCTGCTGTGCTAATAGGCGGTAAGATATTAGCAGTGGTCCTTCGTCCGTGTATCTGAAATCTTGACAGTTTCTGCATTGTGTAGGGTCGGTTGAATTGGCAGCAGTTGGGGTGTCAGCTTCAGTATTCAACTTAGTTTCTAAATTGTTTAACGTTCCATTGCTCAACATCACTACATCTTTTGTTGCTGAAGAGCAGGCATTGGCTAGCAAGGCCGAGGATGGTAATTAGTAACTTTTTCTAGAAAGATTTGTTATATTTGAAGTTTAGTAATAATACTTCACTTTAATCAAAATGGTTTTGTGAAGATTTGCAGGGTGACAGGCAGAGCAAGAAGCTCCTTCCCTCGGTGTCGACGTCATTGGCTCTTGCTGCCACCTTTGGCGTAGCTGAAGCTGTTGCACTTTTTCTTGGGTCGGGTGTCTTGATGAATGCCATGGGTATATATGCTGTATGTCAATCTTCACCAATTATCAGTTTAAAGTGATGCATGCTACTTTGTGCTACTTTATTCTCCAAATGTATCTTAGTAGTACTTCCGTCGAATTCAGTTTGTTTATTGTCTTGGTGCAGTTTCTTTCTTTCACATGATTATGAATATCATGATTGATTTTGGAGTTGAATTTCTTGTTTGTTTAGGTAGTTTTTACTGTCGCTTTTTCACTAGTATGTAGCAAACTTTTTTTCTTCCTTTTCTGCGTTATTAGAGACTTTATCACAGCATTCAAATGAAATTGAAAGGGGTATCAAGGTTTCCATACCTTGAAAGTGGCTTCAAGGTTTCAAAGTTGGCTGATAAGGATGGAAGAGAAAGACTAGTATATGGAGTAGGAAATTTTTCTCACCGTGGGATATGTAGCATTTTGACATTAACTGACTGATGTGTTTCTGGATTTTTTTAATGAAGTTTGATATTGTTATAGGATTCACCAATGCGAATACCTGCGGAGAGTTTTCTTGCCGTAAGGGCATTTGGTGCTCCACCGATTGTAATTGCACTTGCCGCACAAGGCACATTTCGTGGCTTTAAAGACACAAAGACGCCTCTGTATGCTGTTGGTATGTATTGTTCTGCATGTTTCTGAACTCAACTGTATTGTTTTCCAACTGAGAAAATGACAATGTCTGCTCTTTTATCTCAGTTGCTGGCAACTTACTTAATGCTATATTGGATGCAATATTGATATTTATTTTTGATTTTGGAATCCGCGGTGCTGCTATTGCTACGGTGATTTCTGAGTACGTCAACGATGTGGTAAACTTAATTTACTGGTGGATTTTGATCTTGATATTCCTATCATAACATTCTGTCAAAGTTTTCTTTCTAACACAACTCTTCATGTCTATTTTTCGCAAGGTACATGATCGCTGTTATTCTTTTGTGGAAATTGAATAGCGAAGTATTACTTGTCCCTACCTATATTGATGGGAGAAGAATCATCGGTTACCTTAAATCTGGTAGGTTCTTTGTGAACTTGTTTATGGAATCATAGATGATGGGGATAATTGAGTTTTTTCTAAATGCCCCTTGTATTTGTCAGGGGTCCTTCTTATTGGCAGAAGCTTAGCAGTTGTTGTAACTACGACACTAGCCACATCCGTGGCAGCCCGGGAGGGTCCTATCCCCATGGCTGGCCATCAGATTTGCATTCAAGTTTGGTTGGCAGTATCTTTGCTTACCGATGCTTTAGCACTGGCTGGTCAGGTGTGACATTTTTACTTTACAAGTTTCATACGACGTGAACAATATACACAGAAGAACTGAATGAAATAAATTATGTGAACGAACTAGATCTAGTTTAATCATTACAATGATGTTTCTTCACAGACACTTCTCGCCAGTGGTTACTCCCAACAAGATTATGAACAAGCACGCCTAGTAATTTATAGAGTTCTACAGGTTCTTATTTTTCTTTTCAACTGTTTCATTCTCATCGTTAATTGATATCCTTTTTTTCCTCTGAATCTACATTAACTGTTCTTTGAATTTCAAACAGATTGGTTTAGTGACGGGAATTGGTTTGGGAATTATGTTATTCATCGGTTTTAAAGCGTTTTCTAGCTTATTCAGCACAGACCCTCAAGTCCTGGCAATTGCATGGTCTGGTTTATTGGTAGGAAACTACATATCTCAACAGTTTACTTTTTGGAAGCCTATGGACTATTACTTGCTTCATGTGTGCATTAGTTGCACTGCTACACATACCTGATATGGATATTATTTGCCAGTTTGTTGCTGGATCTCAGCCAATAAACGCTCTAGCTTTTGTTATTGATGGACTGTACTACGGAGTTTCAGACTTTGGATTTGCTGCCTATTCAATGGTATTCCCGGATCCTATCAGGAACAACAAAATGGTTACATCATATGGTCTCCTCTCACCTCTCTTTTTGTTTGGGCAGGTGTTAGTAGGACTGATTTCTTCCGCGGTCATACTTGTTGCCTCTCCGTCTTTTGGCCTTGCTGGAGTCTGGACCGGGCTGTTTCTCTTCATGGCATTGCGCGTAGTAGCCGGGATTTGGAGGTAAACTAATTTCTGTACGAGCTCCTGTCATCACGCAACTTGAACTTCTTCCTGACAAATACTATTGCACTCCAGGTTGGGCACAAGAACCGGACCATGGAAATTGGTCTGGGATGAGAGGAAACAGGAAGGTTAACGTGACGAATGTTGAATCTCCTGGGACAGGAGGTAAAAATACTCATCGGGGGGCTATCGAACACAAGTAACTGTCTGAAGTCTGATGCTGCTGGTGTAACCTGTTTTCAAACACAGGTTATCCTAAGGTGGTCAAGGGCCTGCCGGATTATTAAGACGACCTGGATCAACAAGAAAGAGTGACTTCGACTGGTTTCCGACTACTCACTAAATTTAGTATGTCGGGATGCAGATGATGATCGGCGTTCCAAACGAAGCTTTCTTCCCGTCCATACTTCACCAGGTTCTTGTATAACATATGATAGCATAAAACGCCAATAAATGTTTACAAAACAACATCAAAGATTCTGAAATTGAAAGGGAAATCTTCCTATTTCGATTCAAAGAAAATTTCAATAGAATTCCTTATCAAGTAAAAATCACAACTAAGAGTAAGGGAACCATGAATAATGCAGCCCCTGCTCTTCCATTACACCGGAATGATAGCTTTGTCTAACTAAATCTGAATCGAAATCCACGTCTAAATATCCGTCCTGCGTATGATTCGAGCTTCCAGGTATGTCGACTTGTGGTTGTGTCTGAAATTGTATAGGGAGACAATGCATCATCCTCTCCCATTGTTGTTCTTGAGCAGCATCAATGCCATAGGTTTTTTCTGCAGACCAGCAGTTATGCATGTAGTCAAGTCTGTCGTAGAGCTCCCTCTGCATTCCGATGTCATTCGATGCATTGATGCCATAACCTGGACTATTGTTGTACTTATCGTCTAAGTCATCTAAGTAAGCATAAGTATGTATGAAGCCATCGTGATTATGGCCATTTAATTTCGTAGTTTCTGCTAAACCTCCCTGCAATTGTTGACCAGTTATCGATCCCTTCATTCCAGCATCATCAGATTGAACATTTTTCTGCTCGTTATGCATATTGTTGTACATATCATCTAAGCCATTTTGGCTTCCAGATTCCAGAATCACCGGGAACTCTTTCACCACTGCTTCCCTCATTGCCGGTGTCTCAAATTTGACATCATTTGAAGGGTTGCAACCGTCTCTTAAGGTAGCATTGGAAAGCTCTAATTCCTCAGTCACCAATCCCACAGCACAAACCATTTCCTGCTTCGGCTCTCCGGGCAGACAGTCCTCAAAGAAACCCGATCTTTCCTTTGCCTGATCCGCACTGTTATATGTTGACGATGACTCGTAGGACGATGGTTTAGTCGTTGTGGGTGACACAAAATTAGAGCAGGAGTCCTTCAAATCCATGGTGTTCTTTGCGAAGTTGAGCCGGGCCGAAGCACCATAAATTGCCCAAGCAGCTTTATCATAAGCAAGTGCAGCTTCCCAGGCTGTAGGGAAAGTCCCAAGCCAAAGACGGTTATTCTTCTTCTTCGGTACAGCGCCGCCTGTAGCGTGAATCGGTTCTCGGATTTCCGCCACCCATTTTCCCCAAGTCCTCTGCCTAACACCCCTGTAAACACAAGCGGAGTTCTCAGGCCCTCCTTTCCCTCTCATACACCCTTTTGTGGAGCCCTTCGCGGGAACCCTCCGAGTCTTCTTCCCTCCATCTTTTTCAAAATCAAGCCTCTCATTGTAGTTCTTCCACCTAGCCAGAGTGTCCTCTATCGAATCGCACCCGTAGCGCCTCTTCCGCAATTTCCTATCCCTGCAAAGTTGAACCACATCCAAAGTTAGTGTCAGCTTTCAAACAATCAACACGAACAAATTAGCTTCCAGGCACCTCTCGTTTGAGATTGGGATTGCTTCGGTCGAAAACGCTTATGCTTATAAGCACGCTTTCATTACAAGCACTTTGAAAATTTATTATAAAAATCCAAGTACTTCCGTTAACTTAGAGCTTTTGCTAAACGTTCTTTCGTCACAATTACATTGCCAAAAGCACCTTACTAGCACTGCTCCCGAAAACGCTTCTAACTTTTTGCACCAGATGCAGTGTTGAACCATTTTTAGCAATTTCAGAAGCAATCCCATCCCAAAGAGGAAAACGTTCCAAGATTTCCTAAAACTTGGATTTCTCAAAGGAAATGAACCACACAGAAGAACCCAGATGAAATAACAGATAAAAACCCAAGAACTCACCCGTCGGAAGCCTCGGACGCCATGCGAGTTCAGAAATCTGCCTGCTTTCTTCTTCCTTCAGGGCGTCAAATATGCAGAAAATATGACCTTTTCGTTCTAATTAGCTGAAAATCTAATAAGGGTTTATGTAGGGTTTAGGTTTGAACAGGTTTTTGCCCCTTGAGCAAGGTTTCGAGGCGTTTTTGAGGAGCTGGGGTTTTCTCTGTTTGCGGCTTTGTGGGGGCAGATACCAATAAAAAACAACTAGGCAATGGCGTCGCTGTCTGACTTGGGGACGAAGGTACTGTGAGATACTCCCGAAAAGAATTAATATGAATTTGATGATATGAACAGCTCATGGGACGATTCGTGGCCCCTCTTTCGACACGTAAGAGTCGTACTCTGTTTTGTCCTTTCGGTTTCTTGCCCACGAAGGCTTTACTTTACTTTTCTTTTGCATTTGCATTTATAACTGGCAGCTGCGGCTGGTTTATTCAGAGCAGTTCCAATGTATGAAAGGCTCGCCTACTGCCTATTGAAATTTGAATTATTTGATTTATTAAATCTAAAATTTTAATGAACTTTTTTCGTTTTCAGCAATTCATAAAAGAATGAATCGAAAAAAACCTATGAATATACCGGGCTGCAACAAAAGACTTCATGATAGTCAATATGGGCCCCCACCACCTATCAGTGCATAGTGTTATTTTGACTCATCATTATTTTAGATGGTGAAGATGTTATTGACTGTAACTCAATATTGGGGTTATTTACACTGAGGAATGGAAAAAATTGTGGAAACTCGAACAATTATACAATATTTGCCCTTATGTAACACGGTCCGGAAATCACTTAAATCCCCTCTAATGAACAGTAATTGCCTTTTGTATCTCCACCCTTAATTTGAATAGTCATGACAATATGCAATAAAATAATAGTATTTTTTATTTTATGAAATAATAAAAAATAATTTTATTTCAAATTTCAGATATGATTTTTAATCGGTCTCATTGTACCACGTTTCATTAAATAAGAAATTACAACCCAAAGTATTTGAGAAAATATAAAATGATGGTGTAAGGTGGAAGATACAGATAAGATATTTATAGAAAAATTAAATCTTTTTTTTTTTGGATTTTTTTATTAATTGTTTACATTTTATTTTACATTTTTTTTTACATTTTATTAATTTTTTATTGCTTTTTTCCAATTTTTTTATATTAATTTTATAATGTGGCTGACGTCATCCTAACATCAGCCTTGCATCAGTTTGCCCTAAGGCACTTGCCCTTGCGATTCGAGCCCGCCCTCTCACTCGAGCCCTTCTCAGTCCAATCGCCTACATGGGTTGGAGTAAGGAGGGAAGGCAATTGGATTGAAAACCTCCTCGGTCCACCGGGCAATCCACATTAGTGGAGTTGCTCTAAGAATTCACTAGTACAAGCATGGACGAGGTTGCTGTTCGAAAAGGCTCGGAAAGACTCTTATGAGTAGAAGTGCTCGAGAATTATTAAAGTACTTGTTAAAAAAGCACTTTTAATATATAGGTGTTTAAGAGCCAAAGTGTTTTCTCCTAGAACAGTTCTAAACAAACGCTTAATTTTGGTTTGAATGTTTGAGTTCACATGTTATAATTCCTTTTTTAGATAGTAGCCTTGCCAGCAGGCACAGAGGTGGGCATCTTGAATGGGCTTTCAGTTGGGCTTCATTGGCCCATCAATTGTCCTTCAAATATTGGGCCGATGGAGCAAGTTTTGTGAGTTTTGGGTTCTATTGCCTTGGCAGGGACGTCAGCCTTGTCAGCAGGCGCAGAGGCGGACAGCCCTTGAATGGGCTTTCAGTTGGGCTTTATTGGCCCATCAACTGCCCTCCAAATATTGGGCCGCTGGAGCCAGTAAATGCAATAAAGGAGGAAGTAAAAGCTGAATTTTACAACACACATCACATATTTACATTTTACTCAACCGAGTTTGAAATCTTGGCTTCAACCTCCAATCTCAGCCGTTAATAATCTTCCTCGCAGCACATACCGTCCATCTGTAAGACTCTCAAAGCTTGTAGCACAAAGCTTCCCTGCATCCAACGTCATTTAATCACGTACACATCACACGCATTCGAGGTCCCTCCTGCAAAAGCCGCCCTTTGTTCTCGCGCGCTTAAAATCCGTTAATATTTGCAGAGAGCCAAACACCCACACACTCACACACTCACTCTCCGCCATTACCATTTGCCTCCTTCCTTCTCAGCTCCCTCTCTCTCTCTCGCTCTCTCTCTCTCTCTCTCTCTCTTCGACTGATCCATCCCTCTCTCTTTTGCCGTCGTACTCACGCCGTCGACAGAATGTTCTACTCGCACCAGCTTCTAGCTCGGAAAGCTCCTCTGGGTCAAATCTGGTAAAACCTCACTCAGATTCTCCGATTTCTCTCACTTTTTCTACACGATTTTTCGTTGAATCTATTTTTCACATGTATTGCTCTGTTTTTTTTCCCGTATACTTCACTTTTTTTATTCTTGCATTTTTATCGTAATTTCATGCAGTTTGGCCTAGAAACTGACGTTTTCGCTGGATTTTCGAGTTTTATTAACTATTTTGTTTTTATTTAACTATTTTTTCTTTGCAAATGGTGAACTCGCGAAGGAGGGCTGCTACAATGCACGCTAAAATCAACCGCAGGAAGCTCGATAAGCTCGATCTCATCAAGATCTGGTAATTCCTTACCTCTTTCTCTTCCTTTTTCACTTCTTCAAATTTTCATAGTTCTCAGCTTTCGCCGATAATCGTCACTGGTTTTTTGTGCAGCTAAATCCCATGGGATATAATTCTTCATGATTTTTTGCATTTTTGTTTTTAAATTTTGCAGCGAAGAGATTTTGAATCCTTCGGTTCCCATGGCTCTTCGTCTCTCCGGGATTCTCATGGGTAAACTCTCCCTCCCTTCCTCTCTCTCGCTCTCTCCCCCCCCTATGTTACCATTTCGCTTCGTTTGCGTTTCCAGGTGGAGTCGTCATCGTCTACGAACGAAAAGTGAAGCTCCTATACGGTGACGTTCCGATCCTTCTTTCTTTTTTCGTTTCGAATTTCGGACAATTTTGATTTCAAAATTTTCGAACAAATGTTTTCTGACTTATGTTTCTGTGTGTTGCTCTCGTTTCCGTACAGAGGATGCGACTCGTCTACTGGTACTATTTCTCTTCGAATTTCTTAATTATTTTAATTTCCGATTTTTCTCTATTTGTTTAATTGATTTTTATATTATTTTTCACATCCGAGTGTGCTGCTGTAGGTCGAATTAAACGAAGCATGGAAGACGAAACCTGTTGGGGACCCCACCGTCCTCCAGAAAGGAAAATCACAGGCCAGGTGGGTCCCTCCCCCATGCTGCTTCTTCCTCTCCAAGTTACCAAAATTTTCAGAACCGGCGCATTTTAGAACCACCGGCGTAGTTTAGAGTGACATTTGTAGTGGAGGGGCAGGATTGTCATTTGACACGTGGGTTATTGTCGTCTCCTTTTTTCTGCAGAAAGGAAGCTATTACGCTGCCTGAGAATGAAGACACAGAGATTGAAGGAATGCTGAATTTTTCCCACGGCCGCAGCGCCTCCATGCAGTTTCAGCAAACCTCCTATTTTGCTATGGTAAAATGTCGAAACTCTCCGGGTTTTTGTACAACATTTACCTACATTTCAGACTCTCATGGATGGTCCATTGAGGGTATTTTTGTCAATCAGGGGAAACTGTCTGTGTGCCTGTCACTTGATAGTGTATGAAAGGTGTTTGAAGAATTGCCTGAATAGGGTTTGTGAGTAGAAGATTTAAATGATGGGTCAAGTTTATGTGCCCTGATTATTCAACTATTTTTATTGCTTGTGTTTTATGAATTTACGAAACTCAAAAATATTTGATCTAAAAACGCTTTCAATCATTTAAAAGCGTTTCCCGAATGAGCCATGGTTTCCGTTTGAGGAAAGCTATACTACCAGTTATGACACTGATTTATACTTTTTTGTATCTATGGCGATGAGCCAAGGCTCGTTGTTACATTAGAAGGGACGAATTGTGTTCTTTTCCACTGTTGTATTATGCCTTACAGTTTTTGTGTATGATAGGAAGATGCCTATGTAGGAACTGCATACAAAAACATTCTGAAATGATTGAACCCGCTGCATTGCCTCGTTGAGCTATTGTCTATCTTTGCAGCGGCTTGATAGTGTCGATGAACAATATGTTAACAACAACGCAGCAGGGGAGGAAGATCCAGCTCCGCAACTCTACCAAGGTTGTATCATTCTTCTATCTGATTTTGTCGTAATTTTAAGGTTTGAGTCTTTTGTCCACATGTCCAAAGCTTGTTCATCTGCTAACACAAGTTACTCTCTCATTCAGCTGATGTCGAGAATATCACCTTAGCTGAACGCTTTGATCCATTTCAAGCTGATCATTATATGTACAATCGCTTGGAGAGGTGAAACGTGTTTCAAACCTCCTACATGCAAACCCCATGTTTTTAAAGTTGTAGTCATAGTCTTATATGTGTTTTCTATGTGGATGGAAGATTTGAGATCGAAGGGGATGAAGAGACACAGTTTAACTTCACGTCAGGAGAGCACACACACATTCCCATACCCCCTTCCCCTCCTCGCGATGAACATCAGGAAGGTCAGATCATCCCTTTACCTATAAGATAATTTCTAAATTTCTAAATTTAGATGAATTTAGGAGTAGGATACAAGTCAAGTTTAATTTACCTAGTTACAAGCATGAAATTCTTCCTGATCTCAGGGCCTCCTGCAGCTCATACAAACCAAGATGATCAACATCTAGATCACCAGGCCAATCAGCCAGATGAAAGCAAGAAATTTAGACAGGTAGCCAGTAAATATCATGTTTTCATACAACACATCTTCTAAACTTGGAAAAATTAACTACAAACTAATCAATCTTGGATTGTAGATGAAGCTGGTTCAAGAGAGACAGGGGACTAGAAAAAGGAAAACAAGAAAGCAAGCATCTGGAATGGATTTTGAACAAACAATCATTCCTGGTCATGTATACCAATCTTGGCTCCGAGATCCTTCAGATCTATCACGAGATGCAAGAAAACGAAAGGTTTGTCGCTGATCTCTAAGTTGTATTTATCAGCTTAAGCCAAATCCATTTAAGGCAGGTGAGACTAAATGCGTACATACTAACTCCAAGTTGAACTAGGATGGGTTACTTTTCGATTGTGGCTCACAACATAAATTTTATTTCAAGGTTGTTGAAAAAACTGTTGGATTGTATGTTACCAAGTACAAACTATAACTGAGAATGCTTTATACTCTGTGTATTTACAGCGCAAAGATGTAATGGCAACTATGAAGATGGCTAACCTCATGGACCTGCCACCTAAAGTACTAATTGAAGATTTATTTACAACTGGAAGTAAAAACGTATATTATCCACGTCCTCTCCTTGACATGTGGATGAAAAGTGTCCGAACTCCCCGTGAGTCTCCTGCCGGTCAGTACTTGTTATTTTGTTTTGAGAACTTTCTCATATATGATAATTGAAGAAGTGAAGAAAAAGTACCTAATAGTTGCTCTGTCTGCAGGACGAACCACTTCACCCCTGCCCCCAGGACCATCGTCACCAATACCGCCTGAGAGACAAAACTCTAATGGTCCAGTGGAATATGTAAGCCAGTCCACCTTCTATTAGTTGTTCATTTTCCAAAAAGACGATTAAGCTCATGTCTGACAAGTACAATGTGTTAAAATGTGAAGCCTTTTCAAGATTTTCGTAGTGGAGTTGGCTCCCAGTCTTCCATAGATAAGCAACGGCCAAGTTCTGGTGTGGCAAAAGGCAAGAATGATCCAACAAGTGTACTCATGGAAGGACTGACTGCTAATCTTAAGAACATTGGCTTAGAGGGAAATGATACCAATCCAATGGCCACGCCTGGAAATTCTGGTACAGTTAAATTTGTTTAATACTTTTCATACCTTGGATATTTGGTTAAAAGCATTTCAAACATATTCAGTGATTTTCTAATCAGTTATTTGCTTCACTCAAATGTACAGATGACGTAAGATCCATCCCGAGCTCAGCATCAGGGCAGGCAATTCCTTCAGAAGGCAATTCAGGACGGTTAGTAAAATGTTTTTATCAACCAATATATTAAGATTTTCAAAGCTATAAAATGTTTCATGAATTCTTTCTTTGGACAATTGTCAATTACCATGAAATGTCACATGCAATTAGAGATTTGTTGCTTCCTCCTATATCCTGTGATAAAGTACTGGCTGTGGACAGATCCGGCAAGAAAAGGCCTCATTCTGCATCCGGGGGCAACATTAGACTTGAACCACTATTGGAAATGAGTCACCCCGATGTACATTTCGAGTTGTCGAGGTCACCTGAGCAAGGCCCGGCATTTGATCAAGGTATATTATACCTTACTACTCCTTCCTGTTGTTGCAGCAACCAAAGTCATGGTGGTTAACTTTTTTCCTTTCAGTAGGATTTTAATCACCATTGTAACTCCGTTTTGCAGAACTCTTGGTGGAAACAGGACCAACTCAAACTCAAAAACCGATCGTGGAACAACCGCTTGACAAAACAACTGATACTATCAGAAGGTAAGGTCGTCTATGAGATCTGCTGCATTTGCTTGGTGCACAAGTAACTTCCAGTTTCGGTTGCCTGATTGCGTTTTCCTCTTGTGTTTAAATGATTGCAGGGTTCTGAAATCACATTTTGAGACGGAGGGAGCTCCTCAGGTCGAATCCCTGGACAACCTAACTGCTGGAAGGAACCGAAAAGAAGCAGCTATGCTCTTCTACAAAACTTGTGGTACTTACCTATCCATATGTTACGTGCTCCTTTAATTGCAATGATTTGTGTTACAGCATTTAACATATGAACCTTGTTCGAAACTAAGACGGGATCATAATGTATAACTCTGCGCAGTTCTGGCTACACGGGATGTCATAAGAGTCGAGCAGAGGACCGCTTACGGGGAGATTCTCATATCGAGAGGGCCGAAAATGTGAACGAGGTGAGATCACACCTAGTGTCCTACACTTGTAGGTCGTTAATTCCCACCTACATTACGACCTAATCAACATGGAATTAGTGATACAATTAGAATTAGATGAAGAGATTAGAGATTACCTCATCTTTTTACAGTTTAAGCTTTTATCAAATTACTCCTTTTTTTTAGCAGTTAAAACAGCCTTGTCACGGGGAAGTTGCTGTTCCTCGCCAGAGCTCCTTTATAAATTAATAATATCGTTAATTTTACTTTTTGCTAATTGAGTTACTCTTTTTTTGATATATTTTTAATTCAATCTCAATATCTGACAAAGGAAAAATGAAGTTCAATTTTTGTTTGGTCCAGAATATTTTCAATTTTATTATATGGAAAAATGTACATAAATGCTTGGATCACTTGCCCACATGCGAGTTCGTTAGCGGCGAGTGTGTCATGAATCTAAATTTTACAATAACGAAGTAGAATCCAGTGGGTTTTATAAAAGTTCAAAATGTATAAAGGATATGAGAATTTTTTAGTGTGGTGGAAACACTGCCAAATACACCAAATTTCATAATACAAGTAGTTAATTTTTTTAAAGTATTTTGGTGCATCGAGCCGTGTTTCCGGCACATTAAAAAATCTCTCAAATGATAGGGTTGGTATCGATAATACAGGTAATTCTACGCATTGTCAGTGATACTGTGACAAAAAATCTGTTGTTCAAATTGGAAATCATCAACGTAACAACACCATACAAGAAAAGAAATTTAATTGGACAAAAGAATTCCTCCAAAATTTAATCGCCTCGTTCAAGGAGAAATTATGTCCTACAACCGAATATATATCTTTTTGATCACGAGACCACAGAAGCGATTCTTACAAAAGCACAGATAATGCACAGGGCATGATACACTAAAAGCATATGAATACAACAGAACATCTTCAACTACCACCAAAACATGCCAACCATATGACTACAGAAAAACGTCCATGATTCCAACAAATCTTCATCTCAAAAAGTCGTCGACTGCATGATGCACCGAAGGCAATGCCGTGACTGCTAATCTTACATACGTGGTAGTACATCAGCTACCACACCACCGAGTCGGGCATTTTCCTGCATCCAGTGATTCCAACAGAAAACCAAGACAAAAGTGAGACATAGAAAGAACGACGTATGCCCAGGACAAACTTAATTACTTTCATTTTTTACCATGAACGATATTCACCAACTCCAAAAGAATATCAAGAATACAAAAGTGAGACGTAAAAAGCTGGATTTTGTGGGACGACTTAAAATCTTTATGCTTGTTGCGCAAGGAACTTATCATCGACTGATTTGAGCCAACCTACAACAACTTCAAACACAAAATTTGGTGCTAGAGAGACCTTCCATTTGTTGTTTGATTCACTTAAAATCATGGTCTAAAATATCCATAATATCCCGATATTTCCATCGAAATTTTCGTGTTTTTGGACTACCGATATTTCCGATATCATCGATATTTTAGACCTTGCTAAGTCACTCATCTATCTTACCATGCAATGTATAAAGTGTAAAATATTGTACTAATTCATTATATATAAATGATTATGGTGTGTTTAAACTTCTTTCATTAATTACTACATATTTTCTACACTCACAATATTTGCCAGCTCGCTATATAATCAACTTAAATAAGTTATATCTATCATGCAATGCATTTCCTTCCAATTTTTTGTGATAAACTAATAGATAATTGACTAAATAAACATCATGCAAAGTTTCAATAAAAATTTCCAAGTTTTTCTTACAATTTCCGTGGTTTTTATTCAATTTTTATCGATATCGATAATATCCCGATATTTCCATCGAAATTTCTGTGTTTTTGGACTACCGATATTTTATACCTTGCTTAAAATACAATGCGACTCCACACAAAGGCAATTATTAGTTATCATCATAAAACCAGATAACGGAAACCAAACATTTATACAACCATTTAAAGACAAGGTTAATGAAAATTTGTTAAATTTTCATACAGAGGGTGCATGCGACCAAGAGCAAGTTAGGGTAGCTGTAGACTGTAGTGCATCGCTTAAATGTTGTGCACCGCACACAAGGAGACTCGACAGGAATCTAGAAAAAGCCGTCCTAGGCATAAGATATGTCTTTGAGTCCTAAAGGAAGTGGACAAGCTCAGTTACCAGAGAAAGGGTTCGGAAAAGAACCCTAAGAGGGACTAGAACCTGGACTGAAGTAAGTAGATATATTGAAAGCTAGGAAACTTCAAATTCAAATGGAGACGATGCAAGTTTCGATATGTAAAACAAGGAACACCAAGTGACGTGGAAGAAGCAAAGATCACACAGATTCAAGAGACAGTGCAAAACATGGGAGTATTGGTCATCCATTCAAATGTTAAGCTGTGTATAGAATCTCAACCCTATCGGAAACAAAGGCACATGTATAGATGGATGGAAAATTTGACACACTCCAGATTAAATGCAAGGGACTTTGACACGATTTCTCTCTTTCCATGATCTCTCACAACATCTAGTACACGGCACAAGGATATGAAAACTAAGCATGATAAACAATTGCGAACAACACCACTATAATTTTTCAAGGTTTTAAAAAACGAGCCTCAATGCAAGCTTCTGGTGAATTTGCGATGAGATGTACAGGGGTACGTGAGTCTCCCACCAGGCATATGACTTTTTCGCAAAAGTGTACACTTTGCATAGGAAACTAAAGTAAAATATCATGTATTCACACTGTATGAATATAGGAACTAAACTAGCCAGAAAAAGAAAATCACCCTAA